ATGACTGGATCGTCACGTTAGTGATTCCCTCACCCAAGGTTGGTGACCTCAACCGGCCCCTTTGGTGATGGGTGCAGCGGTGGTAGCGCTCCCCTATTCTCTTTCTTTCTTTTTTATCTTTAAGTTTTGTTTTTTAAAATAAAATTTAAGCTTTTCTTTTTTAGTTTTTTAATATAGTTTAAATAAGATTTGAATAAAAAATGCCAAGTTAATATTTTCCGTTAGTCAAATTGACGGTGTTAACGTAAAGACTTGATTACACTAATTTGACAAATTTTAAGATTTGATTGCACTTTCTGAAAGTTTTGGAACTCAATTGCACTTTCGCGACAAGTTTTGGGAATGCAAATATCTAAAAAATAAATGGTTAATATCACAAAAATCCCAAATTGGTACACCTGTAATAAATTTATCCCAAATTATTTTTTTTACCACCAAAAATCTCAAATTGACATACTTGTGACAAATTTACCATCCGTTAAATTGGATTAATACCACGAAAAATCATAAATTGGTAAATCTGTGACAAACAGATGGGTAAAACCCTAAACTAGTATACCGGTTAACTACCACATGTCATCCAACTCAACAATTTGACTAAAAAATTTAATAAAAACTAACAGAGGGTAAATTTGTCACAGGTATATCAATTTGGGATTTTTAGTAGTCAAAAAATTAATTTAGGATAAATTTAGCATATATGTACCAATTTGGGGTTTTTTATGGTATCAATCCAAAAATAAAAGATAAAAGATGCATATCGTTGACTTGGATAAAAAAACGATGCGGTAATTAACATCATTTTTTGGGCCCTTTCATTGTTGATGTGGGTTGCCTCATCAACAAAAAAGTATATGACATGACATTCGACGTAAAGAATGATTAGATTGGAGTAAAGTTCTGTACATTTAGGGTGACAATATTTCAACCCCTAATTTTGCTAATACACTTCGTTTTCTTCACTTGACCGACCATAGTACCCTTTGCTCTCTCTCTTCAATTCATTGTTTCTATTTTTATTGGGTTAATAGTTGTGAAACCAATGAGAGTAATGATAGAAATAAAAATCAATTTTGTTGGTTCGGCCGGCATTTAGATTGTGAATCCGATGAGAAAGATGATGGAAAGAGAATCATTTTAATTTTTGGTTAGTCCCATAACAAAGAAAGAAGCAATTAATTAAAGGGAGCAAAAAAGAATGATATTTTGGTCAGTTAATTGAAAAAATGAGTGTCTTAGTTAAAATAGGAATAGAAAAAGCGCTGCCCAACATTTAATGAGAGAAAGTTCGAGGACCTATGACCTTATCAACCCCGTCATTCTTAGGATTTGTTTGTTTCACAAAAAATGAATGATTTGAAAAAAAAAATTTATAAAAATGATTGATTGCTTTGCTTACAAAAATGAATGAAAATTTTGTTATCCACGAAAATGTTTTGATATAAATTGTTGTTGATTATGAAAATATTTTTCATTGACTAATTGTATCGAGCAATATAAGCGATTATTTTTGGAAATATAATTTTCAAATCATTAATTTTTCGTGAAACAAGCGAACTTCGGAGAAAATTTGTATGAGTCGGAGAAATGATCTTGAATACCAAAATCGATGTTTCCTTTCATGTTCCAACTCCATATTCAGTTTGGAGCAGTTTGTATTGAAGTGCATTCCCTTCTTGACTTTCACTTTATGTGGCCAACTTCATCTTTGCCTTGTTTTCCCTCGTTTCACCTTCCACTTCGGCGCTACTTACCTTAATCCAATCACATCATGAGTCTTTAGCGCACCACGATTTCCTTTTACCTAACCTTTCTTTTTCCGTGAATTTAAGGTTCCATATATTTTCACGAAAAATAAATGATTTGAAAAATATTTTTATCCAAATAATCGCTTATATCCCTAACAAAAATGAACGAGCGATGAATATTTACATCGTTTATGAAAACATTTGGATATAAATTGCTGTCGATAATAAAAATATTTTTTTATTACTAATTATTCTAAGTGATAAACACGATCATTTTTTAGAAAATCTTTTACAATTACTCATTTTCCGTGAAACAAATTGAGTTTGAAATTTCTGACTATTTCCTTGAATTTTGGGTGCTTAAATGACTATCCGTGTCCGCATAAATTTTTACTTTCAATCTTTTCGCTCAATAAAAATCCCGCGATGGACGCACTTTAACTTTTATTTTTGATAAACCACTCAAAACTTTCCCAAAACATTGACACGCATTCACATATATTTATTTCGTAATCCTTTTGAATTAAGATGATATTATAATAATCGGGCGGAAAAGTAAAATAGTACTTTTTACCTAAAACGTAATTCCAAGCAAAGAATCTTTGCTCCAGTCCAAATTCCCTCTAGCCATTTTGCTATTCCATGCCAGTAATAATTTCATCTCCACTTCTTTTCTTTTTTTCCCTCAACCTTTTGATCAGACATGGCTAATCATTCAATGAAATCAAGGGCAAAGTGATTGCCTTTCATATTAAAGCATATCAAGAGATCTGCATGCCGCTCACTTTCTACCTGTAAAGGGATTGGCCGAGAACAGAACCGGTCGTGAAAAGCTTTTCGTCGATACATGAACGAGTCCCATCGATCCGCTCAAAGTCAAAATGCATTCTCAAACTCATCCTCGATTGATCTCGTACGGCACACCAACTTTGGAAAACAGTCTTCACCGACAGTTTACGTTTGGGATGATTCGACTGTCTTTGATGGGTTTCATCGGTTGGACCTAATGACAACCTTTCTTGTTCACCGTGGCATAATGACAGGGTTTACCAGTGCATAACAAAGGAGAAATGGTTCTCTCTTTCTCCCTCTCTCTCTTCCTGCCCACTGTTCGGTCGTGCATTTTGCCATTGAAAGCCGGTGTTGCTCTTGTATGACTTGTTGGTTGAGTGAGAGAGAGGGGGGGACTGGGCAAAGGTGTAGCTGATGGTGGTGGTGGTAGAAGGAGTCGGCCATCCCTTCGCTGGAGTCACGACAGCGGCCCGGTGAGCCAAGCTAAGAAGGAAATCGTGGCTAAAGTTATCTATGTCAATTTGATTTTGTTTGCGGCTATACCAATGTCAAGTTGGGTGAAAATAGATGCTCCAATTGGTGCAAAACGCAGTTTGACCGCCACATGCCGTAATATGACACATCTGTTATCATGTATTGCCACTTGTCATGACGCGCCGACACTAGTCGTAACTCAATGACTATCTGTCAACAAATTCTCCATGGAGGAAAATGGAAGACTATAAATGACCATTTGAGAGCCAAAAAACTGATAGAATATTAAAATATAAAACCACGCATTCATCTAATAGCTTAAGTTTTTAGAATAATTGGCAGTGACCCCATCAAAATCACACAGAATCAAGTTCAACACTCTCGAATTCTACATAAATTATACACATTTCTTCTCATTCTTTGATCTCGGACTTAAGTATCGAAGTGCCAATTCGGACACAACACCCGGCTGCCTTGACCCGCTTTGTGTGCTGCAAATCAATTTTCCGGTGAGAGCTCCGGTTTATCTTGTGGATTTCCAATCAAGTTTCTCAATTTTAACTAGAAGGAAGAGAAAACTAATATGGAAAAATTTCCAGCTATAATTATTCACAAAGGTCTGCATACCTCATTGATCGAGCCGTACCAACTTTTCTAGAAATTGACAATGATCTTCTGGGACATCCAATCTTTTCCACTTTCTGTCCATATGCTATTTCCTTTTCATTTTGGACTAGCTGTAAAATTGTTTAGACAATGGACAGACTGCAATTTGTGAAATTAGGACCTTAATAAGTAAAAGAGGTACAATAAAATAAAGTGTGTGATCATGTGCTGATAAATATTTTTGGTTTTAGAGTAGAAAAGTCGCACTGTAAGGTAAAAGTGATAAATAATAGCCAAAACACCATTATCAAACATCACTATTTGAAATTTTTATCACATTTAACACCATGAACTTTTCGATGGTACATTTGTGTCTCTCAACTTACAATTTATATTCGACATATAGTACTATTAACTTTTCCTTTAGCTTTCATCAACCCATAGTTCACGGAGGTAAATATGTATTGACTGACGGAAATGGATAACCAGTTCACGAGATTAACAGTTGCAGATCATAATAAACTTTAATATATAACAAGATAATGTCACTGATTTTGTTGAACCCATGGGATTCGCTTCGATTTGTGACACCATATCAATATATCACATCAAAGTCAGGTTAGTCTTGTGATATAGGTCTATGAGAGTGGTTTCCTAGGTTACAAGGTTGACATTCTCCTTTGAAATAGACAGTATTCGTTGGCATAAACTGTTCAACCATTGTTGTTACAAATATAAAATGTCTATAAGGACTAAGTCTGCAAAACCTTACATGCTCATGCGCCATCTTTCGCAAGTCATGTCATCTTATAAATCATATCTTTGACATCAGTTAAACAGTTATTCCCTTCACAATGTTTTTTTCATATGTTATGTTATGTAAGAAACTGGAAGTCAGTTTGAGAAAAGCTATGATAGATTCCACGTACAAATCTCCCTTGCATAACAATATATTTACATACACAACAATAAGTACTTAAATTCTTATTAACGTTGGCTACCTCTTATTCTTCAATTGTCCAGAAAATTCTTAAAACCATATGGTATCTTCTATGTAAAACCATCATTTGTCAGATTGAAATCGTGTGAGCTGGTCCTATACTTCAATGTACGACCAAAGCTGGATCTAATTATTAACAGGGTCATCTGAGATTATAAGTGATCATGGTCAACAGCTTCATCATCATCATCTTTTTCAGTTTCCTCTCATCATTTGCTCCACCATCTTGCAAACAACTCCAAGAAACTGATCAATGACATGCATTGACTTTGCAATTTTAGAATTTCCTTCCATTGAATGGACCCCCACACAAACTCTTTTCTCCTACCCAGAAGATGTACCTGAAAAAGTACATCTTCCCATCTCTTTCCATGCAAAAGGAAAAGAACATAATGCCATAGGAAAAGAAAGAAATCAATCAGTCTGTTCAAGAAGTAAAAGTTGGCAACCTAGGAAGAGTCCTCAATTGGGATGGTGGTTGGATCTAAAGTTCCAAATGGTCAACGGCAAACTCTCATTTCGTGAGCTGCTTAAGCTCGTCAACAGCAAGGAAGAATTCGATGAGACTGTGGTTGCCGTCTCGGGTAATTCTTCTACATCAGGAGCCAATGAGAAAGACAACGGTCTCCTCTGTTTTGGCTCAATTTGGTCGATAGACAGATAACCGATGGCCTTCCCGTTGCCTTTTTGGTCAGCAGGTCAGTGACCAGAAGCTTTATTGACGAAACTGATCGTGACCTCCTTGTCGCGTCTGGCCATTTCTATGGGGAGAAGGGTGCTGCTTGCTATGATCTGCTCCGCGTTGTACCTCGAGATGTCGAAGTTGGTCACTGCATTTGCTCCTCGGAACTTTATGGCGGCAATGTCATAGGCCTCTGCTGCTGCTTCTTGAGTGCCTAACCAGAAACCCAATTAAGAAGCAAACTCATTGGTTTCATCTGATAGTGTCTTTCAAGAAATAGAGAATCGTGAGATGTTAATGTGACTCACTGAAAGTCCCAAGATAGAGGTCCTTGTTGCCGGCAACTCGGCCAATCCGAGCTTGCCAACGTCCATGCTGATGATGTCTATGTTTATTAACACGAAAGAATCAATCAGAAGATACTCTTGGCAAAGTTTGATGAAACTTAAAAACAAAGTGAATGTACTTCAAATCATAGTATTTGGCCACAAGAAAAATAATTGGACCTTGTGACTCCTCTATACATGGAAGCCCCTCTTGAAAATCCACTACTTTTTCTGCAATATAAAAATGCAATAACAATCAAAACAAGGCAAACTTTAAAGATATGACGGTACATCGGTTGCTTATTCAAATGAAAATGACAAGGCATGCCACAGAGGAAAGAAGACCAAATTTTTGGAAACCTCCTAAGGTGAGCAACATATTCCTGTCTGCTCATGGTCTTCATTTCCTCCAGTTCTTGTTGATAGTTATCCAACTAAAAAAGTAAGGGGAAAAATATCACAATCTGAGAAAAAAATGGCAGGAGATGTAACTGTAAGAGAGAAACAGTGAGCAGATTATTACAGTGAAATTGAGATGGGTTGATGGTCCCCAGTACTTGAGCGCGGCGAGATCATAAGCCCTCGCAGCCTTTTCTTCCCTATCATACCCTCCTGTCAATAGAATTCAGTTAGGAGTATCATAAAGATCCACTTCAATGCGAGCATGACTCTTTTCTTTTTTATAAAATTTTTGAATGAAACCAAAAAAAAATAGAGAAATTTAAAAGTAGAAGAATGAAGGAGGCTTACCAAGGTACACTGAGTTTTATTGTTTGTTGGTTGAGAGTGGCATACACATCGAAGCAAGACAAGCACAAGTCAGTGACATGGTATTCCACATATCAAGAATTGGAAGAGAAGAAGACAGTGAAATGAAAGACAAAAAACAAAAAATTGACACACTCTTCACTGACCTTGTCTTCCTTTCCTGCTCTGTCCTTCTTTCTTGCAGCTGCTATCCCACAAATGAGCTTCATATCTACCTGTCCATCTGTGTCTGAGAAGACAAAACATACCCAGAAGTAGAGTTGAGAAATATTCAGACAAAGCGAGAAAAATAGTTTGGCATGTATAATTTAGGAATCTGAGAGGGTGGAGGAGGCAGAGCATCATGTTAAAGAAAAGAGGAATGCTAGTGAGTAGGGACACTAACACTAAGACTGGTTTCTAAAATCAATAAATTATGCGATGCAGTGAACTCTTATCTAAACAGGGAAGTAAATGTTAAGCACCTAACAAGAATGTGCCATAGACCGGTTTTGTTAACCAGTATTGGTATTTCTAGAGCTATTCGGTATAAAAAGGAATAAATGCAATTGACTTGAGAAAAATTGCGGATGATCATGTTTTTGAGCAGAAAACGAGCCAAGGGTGAGAAACAAGAAAAGAAAAGAAAAGTCGAGTGACCTTGTAACACCTCTGTACTGAGAAGTTCTCTGCCCAAAAGTATCCAGAGATTTCCTATGAACTATCTTCTTCTGATTACAATTGTCAACCCCTCTTTTCTTTGTCTCCAGGGCAATGCACTCTGCTATCGTGTCGGCTATCTGCTGTGAGCTCGCAATGCTGCCCGGCTGTGACTGAGGGCTCATCGACAAGCTCAACGAGTGCGAATCGCTCGATTCCATTGTGCTCACAGGACAAGATCCTGACCCACAATGACCCATCATGCTTCCATTCATCATCTTGATCTCCAATGCATTGTTTGAATGAATGTGATGAAGGAGCTCACGACTTGCGAATTCTTCAGAGCAGAGATGGCGGTAGTGTTGGGATTGGGCTTGGGCTTGGGCTTGGTCTTGGTGTTGCCTTCTCCAATAGATGTGGTTGAGGTGATTTTGGTGGTTGTGCTCGTGATCTTGTGGGTCTCCCAGGTGATACAACTTTTCTATGTCATGGCTCATGGTTGCACCACTGAAGAAGTCCTCCGGTTGTGGAGTAGCAGAAGCTTCACATGAAAAATCCAAGAAGCAATCAGAAAACGGATATTTCCTAAAGAACAAGCAGCAAAAGGACAAGAGAAAGAGAAAATTGACGGTGCAGCCCATATAAGTTCAAAATGCATTTGTACTTTCCCAGAGGAGTCCTATTCTTTGTCCACAAGATGAACACAATATATGAGTATCCCAACTAATTCTGTCATATAGCATGCCTAAACTCGCATTGGAGGAAGTAATACAAACAAAACAAAAGGAGTGCAGTGTCAGGAAGCAAGTTGGGACTCACCTTGAGCCTGTGACTTGTGGAGAGCTTCCATTAGGCAAAGAGACCCATCAGACTTGAGTGGCATTACAGACAATGCAGAGCATGAGCCAAAGCTACCTTCAACTCCATTCAACAGGCCATAGTCAAGGGTCGGAGTTGAGAGACCAAATGCAGAGTCAATAGGTGCTTGGTTCTGCCGTTGGCGGTGGTAAGATGAGAGGGAGGCCTCCATGTTCGAGTGAGGAGAGAGCGAGAAGCCCAACCAATGACTGCTCCTTCCATCATCACTGTTCATGGGCGTCATCTCTCTGTGTCTCTCTAGTTCTTCGTTGCTATTTCTTCGAGCTTGATTTGTGAGTTTCTGGGCAAGTTTCTCTCTAGATGCAAGGAGAGCTCAATCATTGGGACACTAAAAAACTAATCATTCCAATATATAATAATCTCTCTCTCTCTCTCGCTTCAATTCCATGCTTCACAAACTGATGATGGGATCTTTTTTGCTGCTTGTTTTCTGGCTGAAGCAGTGATGGAAACAAGACCCAGACTCATGCTTCTCTCTCTCTCTGAAAAGCATTCACGTAGAGAGAAACAAAAAGGGGGTTGCTTTATAGTAAACAAAGGGAATGTGCTCCAGCAAGAAATGCTGGGCATAATTCCAGCACGCCATGGGGATCCGTGTATGAGAAAGAGACATCTTCTTTTGCTTTTGGAAAAACTGTGCATATACGCTCCTCTCTCTGTCTCTCTCTCCAAATTGAATACCTCGTGTTCCAGGCATCTTTGTTGAGAATTGCTTAAGATACTTAATCTTTGTAACAATATTTGTTTACTAATTGATTGCAACATTGTTTGGAGAAAATTGCTTTACGTGTAAGTCCACCATTGAAGATTATATGTATCTGTGAATCTCACGTGAGTCTTATCAAATCCGACTATTCATATTGAGTTTAGTATATATACTCATGAAATACTTGATTCCAACTAATATTCTCCTATGTGATTTAACCGATTCACATATCACGCAAGTTTCATTAACCATCCTCGGTACCTACACAAGTATCTGAAAGTATTATAAGGACTAGACCATCGCATTTTCATGTTATGCACCTTGGGGGGATTATAGTTGGGTGATGGTCATACTTTTAACTGGTCAAGTGTCTTAGAAAAAGACACCAAACTGTGCCCAAATGACAACTTTCGCTTTGTCTAATTTCTCTGTTCCACATGCCATCCAATGTGCCTAACCACGCTGACATGCACAAACAGAAAGGAATGAACAAAGCTCCGTGACCCAACCATTAAGACCCCAACTCCTCCATTTCCTCCTTTTCTCTGTTCCTGCTCTTCTTTTTTAAGCGCCAGTTATGTTCAATGTGAATAAACTAGCAAACCCAGATGGCCGTGTAGGTGTACTCGTCCGGTTGCTCTTGCAGCTCGCCATATATGAGGAGGAAGATGAGTCGACGATACGATTTATCTTCAAAATGCTGTGAAAATGTCGGATTCAATCTCAGTAAGGTTGTGGCGACAGTGGCATGGCTGCAGTCTAACTCGATTGCCATTGACCAAGTGCTGCCGTTGCTAGGGGTGTGGCCTAGTTGTGGTCCAACCTAGCTGGAACCAAACCGAACCAAACCGGTGCCAGTTCAAGGAAGAACCGGTCTGGTTTTCAGTTACGAAACCTTGGAACTGACCTTTCACCAATTCGATTCTTGTATCTTGTGTAAAAACTACCGATTCAATCCGGAACCGGCCTAGTTGAACTGATCTAGAACCTATTTTATACTTATTAAAAAGAAAAATCGTAAGAGTTTACTTAAGAAGAGCTACAAATTAACCTATATGAGAGTTTTGACCTGATTTTCATAATTGGGATTGCTTCGAGGCCGGTTTAGTGCCCCAATTTGATTTTTCACAACCGGGACTTACAAGGTAGGTTTCAGATTTCGGCCTTAGACCCGAACCAATGTAGCCACTGCTCTGCCTCCTCCTCGTTCTCCCACTCTCCCTCTCTTTCCCTCTTTTGTCTCTGTTTTTTAATACGCTACTCTCAACTTTAAGTTCGAATTCTCTCTCTCTCTCCTCTCCAAATTTTCCCATTTCCATTGCTAACTTAACCGTTGGAGGGTCGATCCGGGCATAAAACTCGGACGCCCTGACCTGGTTGTTGCGCTAAAGATCAATCTCCTAGCGACGTTACAAATCAAGCTCGTGACTCCCAGTTCTAGCTTCGACATATAGTCTTAGACCCATGCAAGGTACGTAAGTCTTGCTATCTTATCTCTAAATTAATTTTATAAATCAGTCATTAGCATTACTCTTTGGTGCTTACTTCTCCCAAAGTAAGTCGAGCTTTAGGCCTCCAAAAGTATTGTGGTCTCGCATGCATCTTCGATCAATGATCTAAAATCGGTTTTCTCTTCCATTTTATTTGCTGTAGACAATCAGTAAGGTCTGCTTAAGTTGAGCACACTGAAGATATTAATGCTAATCTCAGATGATCGCTCAATGAATTCCCACAATTGCTATGATGAATAGGTTGACTTTTGTAATTGCACAGTTGACTATTTTTTGAACCTGTCTAAGAAATTAAACCCCCTTGATCTTCGCAAGAAACTAAGTTACAAGTCTCGAGAAGCAGAATGAAGCACAGTTGATGTCAAGCCATTTTAGAAAAAAAGCACCAAATTATTGCATGTAAATCCTCGGTCAAATTCACTCCTCTCGCACTAAATTTTTAGAGCTTCCTATTCAGGCCGAACCGATTTGAGAAGAAGAGGTCTCTCGCCCAAAGCGGAGACCATGAGAGCACGGCGAAGAGGCCGGTCATGTGGCCGAACACAATTTGCCGGGGTGGTCTTGGGCTCAAGATCTTGTTCACCACGTGCCTCGCGAACATCACGGCGTCGGTCGATTTCGCGCTCTGCGAAGCGCCCCCGCGCTCGGCGATCGCCTCTGTGAACGGCTTGTATAGACTCCACTCGTGAGCTCTCAGCTTCTCCGTGGTCGCGCTCCCGAAGTTCGACCTTATTGCCCCCGGGACCACCTTGATCACGTTGATGCCGAAGGGACGGAGCTCCAGTCGCAGGGCGTCCGTCATGGCATGCACCGCGGCCTTGCTCGAACAGTACGACCCGCCCCAAGGGGTCGGCACGGTCCCCACCACGCTCCCCACGTTTACGATATTGCCGCTCCGCCGGGCCGCCATGTGGGGCACCACTTTTTGGACCAACCTTAGCTGGCCTAGCGTGTTGATTTCCCAAGCCTTTCGGATCGCCTCCAAGGGTAGCTCCGCCAGCGGCCCCACGCTCCCGATCCCGGCATTGTTGATGAGGACATCGATCCGGCCGAACCTGGATATGATGGCCTCGACCGCCGACGCCACGCTTTCATCGGACGTGACATCGAGCTCGAGGGCTTCCACGCCATGACTAGACGCGAGTTCCGACATGTCTTCCATGCGCTGAGGGATGTCGGAGGCGAAGACGTGGCAATTCCGCTCGGCCAGCGCCTTGCAGTACTCGTGGCCGATGCCGCCCTTCGCGCACCCGGTGACGAGAGCCACCATCCGATCCCCCATGGCTCTCTCCCGGCGTTTGATGGATAAGATCACTTGCTTTATATCTCTTTTGAGATTTCCACAATTTAGGAATTTAGGAGAGTTTTGGCGACTTGAGCTAGGCATCGCTGATTCGACTTATGCGAGTGGGCGCATATTCGCCACATATGCTTCGGAGAACACAGATGAGCCGGCGACTCATCGTTCCTTTCGGCCATGAAAAAACAAAGAGGACGGCATCTCTTTGCTATCTAGAAGTCAAGCATATGGAATCAAATCTGTCTCCTTGTTAGCCTTTCGTAGTCATTGAGGATGTTCTCTAAGTTGCAGCAATTAAGAAATGTTCAGGATTGGAATAATCGGCCCCCCATGCAAATTAAATACTAAGTTGCAAGATGCTCTTCTTTTTTTTTTTTTGTCGAAAGTTACGGGGACAATGATACAAACAGTCCTAAATTTTGGCCCAATGTGCAATGTGATTCCTGAACTTTTAATTTCTTCAATATGGTCCATGAACTCTAATTCAATGTACAATGTGGTCCATGAACTTTTAATTTATTCGATATTGTCCCTGAACTTTTGGTATATATTTAATGTAGTCCCTGAACTATACGAAAATGTTCAATGTATTATATATTGAATATTTTCATATAGTTCAGGGACTATATTGAATATGTACCAAAAGTCCAGAAACCTCATTTAACAAATTAAAAGTTTAGGGATCACATTGAACATTAGGCTAAAGTTTGGAAATTATAATGAACAAATTAAAAATTCAGGAACCACATTGCATATTGGGTTAAAGTTCAAAAACTGTTTGTGTCATTTTCCCAAAGTTAAAAGGTGCCCTTAGAAATTAAGTAATTATTACAGTACACGAGGTTGTTCAAGTGGCCTAAACCGGGCTCATCTGGTGGAAGAAATACATTCACTACTGGACTTGCAGAGGAGCCATCTATGATCTCATCCCTTGATATCCCAAAGTTTCAAATAACTATTTTGTATTAGACAAAATGTTATATTTTCTTATAATTCGCATTAGTCTTTACATAAATCATGGAGTGTCTCCCTAGGTCACAATACAAGATCAATCGGTCGTTCATCACGCGAATACGTAAAATTTAAAATTATTTTATCCACTATTATGTATGTCTTGTTTTTCCATATCCAATATGAGTCCTAATGCTCTTTCACTAGGTTTAATATTGATATTAACGAGGGGCATTTAAGGAGGCTCTTTGGTTATCACAAAATATTTCGCCCTTAATGCGCGCACTCGCACACATATATATGGTTATTCAACTGCGATTGTTGCAACCTTACCAAAAAAACATTATGACTTCAATCAAAATATAATTAGTTAGGATTGATAATTTGACAGTGGAGCAAGAACAGTGAAAGAGTGACATGACATTCAAAATTGGACTCGTGAAGAGATTTGGAATTTATTTTCTTTCCCTTCTTTCGAAAACAAAGGGAATACCTTACATTTCTTTTCCACTAAATTCTATCAAGAATAAATTACCAGAAGCTAAATAACTCAGCTATCAACAAATGAATCGATTCTACATAAATGCAGTGGATTTACTCTTCAGCCTGTTAAGTTTAATAGAAGGGTTAATACCACGAAAAACCCCAAACTAGTACACATGTGACAATTTTACCCTGAACTAATTTGTTGACAAAAAAAACTCCAAACTGGTACACCTGTGACAAATTTACTCCAAACTAATTTTTTGACCACGAAAAATCCTAAACTGATATATCTGTAATAATTTTACCCGAACTAAGTTTTTGACTATCAAAAACCCCAAACTGGACCCCAAACTAATTTTTTAACCATAAAAAATCCCAAACTGGTATACTTCTGACAAAATCACCTTCCGTTAAATTGTATTAATATCATGAAAAATCACAAATTCATAAACTTGTGACAAACAAAGGGGTAAAACCCCAAACTAGTATACCTGTCAACTACCACGTGTCATCAAACTTAGCAATTTGATAGTAAAATTTAACGGAAACTAACATAGGGTAAATTTGTTATATGTGTACCAGTTCAGGATTTTTGGTGGTCAAAAAATTAGTTCAGGGTAAAATTATCACAGGTATACTAGTTTGAGGTTTTTCGTGATCAAAAGATTAGTTTAGGATAAAATTGTCACATGTGTACCAGTTTGGAGTTTTTTATGGTCAAAAAATTAGCTTGGGGTAAATTCGTCATAAGTATACCAGTTTGGGGTTTTTCGTGATATTAACCCTTAATAGAAATGAAAATGCCTACCTGTATCAAGATTTTTTTTTCTTTTGGATATGATTTTAATAAAAATGGTTGAAAAACGAATGCCCCGTCCTTGATGAGAGTGAATTTGAGAGCGACTCGACAGAGGTAAAGTTCATCTTTAGTGCATCGGACTAAGTAATTCTCTCTTTTGCGTTCGCACGCCCACAAAGCGTTGTGTTCATATCAGTCTCGAACTTTTGTGATGGTAACGTTGACAACGTCTTTATTCAATCCTAAATCTCTACTCTGGCAACAAACGGCTTCAATCTGCGTATTAATCAAGTCTTCTCGAAGTTGTAGAGCTTGTAAAATCATGGTTGGCTCCTAATGTCACGACATCCTTTTTCATAATAAGAAAATCCATACAGTCAACACAAAAAGACCTCTCAATTCACAAGAACATAACATTGGCGATCAGCCATGAAGCCAAATAATTTCATATCTGGCGTCAGGATGTAGCCAACGACTAGATTTTCATTGTACATATCAATCGATCTTAACATTGCCTCTGAAAACAGCTTTTCTCGCCAGCGTGGCGACCAAGTGACTAACCGATCTTGACGAACTACCTCACTAGCTAAAATACACACATATGAAGTCACTTTCACGCAAGATTGCCTCTAGCAAGTTGAATAAACCGACATATGCTGCAATCCATCCGAACAAGTCCTGCACGTATTCGATGCATGTGAGCCCACCTTATTTCAGCCATTAGATCACGTGAGTCCCAAGGCACCAGTTTTCTGCAAACTCTCTGGTCTTGTTACTCTCTTTTACTTGCTTTGCAGTCCTCTCTCTTAGCAGGAATACATATGCAATGTCATTGTCTCTGAACTGCAAGGGCTGTAAGCATCTAAAGGCCAATGGTCATGTCCCATTCAAGAAAGATTCTCCCTCCCTACAACTGGTCGATGAACTCTCGTAGCAGTAGGCAATGCCATTTTGTCTTTCTTCAGCTTTTTCAGTGTTTTATTTTTCTTCTTTTTCTTTATTTTGGGAGACGACAGCCCCGAGAGTACACATCTTTAAAGTCACTGGGGCTCTTTATTTCAACTTGTCTTCCCACAAAAAACTTAAAATATTATTCAAGTTTTTGAATAAAAAATTATGACAACGTACATTTGGATTTACGTGTCAATATTTGCATTTTACGAAAATTTCAAGTGTTTCGAATTCTAAAAATATCGAATTGCCCGTGTCACAGAACTTTGATTGAATAAAAAGTGAATAGTAAAAGTCTATCGAGACGGGTTTGACAAAAAAAATAATTGCAAAGGCCGCTTGACTTCATATGCATATGAAAGAAACGGATAATGTCGAATACAGTTTCTAATGCGGATCTTTTATCCAAACCAGATTATTTGATTTCCGATTTTGATTCAGTAGCAAATATAGTTGCTTTCTACAAGCATAAGAAAATTATGACAGTAATTGATGCAAAGCCACTTCTTGCAATGTTCATTCGTAATTGGAAATAACATATAGTTTTCCAATTATCTAATTTGGTGGAAAACTTGGTAAATACGTAGCGTTTCGGACAAAAACTCATCATGACAGCATTATTTGCGATTTGATAAAGGTCAACTTTACCATTCTAGGAACACGCTTTGATATATGGGGCCGTGATTTCCCCATGAAAGGCCAGTCCCCACATGCTCTGCAAATCTCTGACGTCTAAATTGAAGATGGTGTGAACAGAGAAAGTTCTGAGCCAGAATTTTATATAAACAATTTTATTGTTGGGAAGATGAATTGAAATATAAATGGTGGGATTGCTTTCAAGAAAGAATTCAAAAAAAAGAGCTTGACCCATCCATGAGAGTTTCTATATTAATCTAATTTATGTAAGACGTTAGACCATACGAGTCTTACATTTTAACATGAACTACTCATATGATCTGACAGGGATTAACGTGATCTAACGCCTCGTGTAGAATGTGCTAACATCAGCCGGAGAACCTAATAGTTTCCCCTATCTATCTTTGTGCACAAGATGTGCCTTTCATGTCTGCTTTTATTGGAAAAATTGGGTAGAGAGATGTCCTTTTAAGTTTCTACTTCTTCTTTTTCTTTTTATCCTTTTGACTTTGTCTTCTTTACAGCACAAAGAATGAGACTGGGAATGTCATGTTCGGTCTGGTTGTCTCTCTGTGATGGTGTCTTTATGGCAATACATTATCAGATTTGACTCCTAGACGTGCTGGAAAACGACGACCACTCAACTATTTCATACTCCACATGGACGCTCTTTTCCCATCTTTCCAAAGAAAGAATCATCAGCAATGAGAAAGGAAGAGAAGGTCGATGATAGTGTAGTACATCAACTATGGAGTTATATTAACTTTTATTTAGTAAGTATGGAGTTAGATCAGTTGACAAGGATCACAACACAGCCATCAAGTGTCGTCGGATCAATTTTTCGGCCTACTTTTCGGACTCTCTACCGGTGCTCGACTAAAATAACTAGGAAAAGGGAAAAACAAAGAAAAAAGGAATAGAGTGGAGAAAAAATGGATAAAACGATGTAAAACATCCGAACCTTAACATCGGTTGATTTATTGGCTACATGAACAAGTGTCGCGAGTATATACATTAAGCGCGCTTAATAAGGAAATGCTCGATTTCCAAATGATTAACTCCACATATCACGAAAAAATTGAGTACTCTAGAAATCGCCATTTGTCCCAAAGACACTCAATATCGATATCCATTCAATTATTTAGGTTAAAACTAAATTTGGCTTCAAAAGACGTTTTAAGTAACTTGACAGTCATTGACCTCGATTTTTTTTACCCAGTAGGGTGCCTTCGCAACACTAGCATGGTGATATTATTTCGAAAAGACAAAGGAAATCCATCTCCAATGCATGTCTCAAGCAATCGGCCCGGCCAAAGTAGGTTATCATCGGCAAACGGATCACGATTCTTGCCTCTATGGTTATGGAAATTTTGGTCAAGTAGTACAATCCTAAATGAAACCATGTTCACTAGATGATGTATCATGTATATATTGTTTGGGGAGACGGGGACATCCTGTAGTTTAGTCAATTTGGGCTTGTAATGCATAGTCCTTCAGTCTCTTTTAGTTGATGATCAAAGTATAACTTATCCAGCCCCCAAAAAAGAAGGGTTTTCTATGGTACAGCTAGGAATAAAGACAACAAAAGCTACGCATATGATGTCTATCCCGAGGCAAGTATATTCAGAAGAATATGTGCATCACTTGTGCGCATTGCTTGAAGAACCATACGGTGGAATGAACATAACTAATATCCTCTGACATAAGATTGAAGGTGTGCACTTGGTATATAGTTTGAGGAAAAACAAAACGTTTTCACCATATTGATTGAGGTAATTCAATAACACGACAGCCTCCTCCGGCGTCAAATGTCCCAAATATCTGGCCGAAATGTACCAAAATATTGCTCTACTCGAAGTCTACCCAGTATTCTACAGAATGCGGGCGTAAAACTAGTGTCCTTGCGCAATATGTGACAGCGAAACTAAGCCCTTCTCTGGCTAAACAATATCAGGGGCTTATCATATTACAAAGACAACATTGGCATCTTACGAGCACCTTATGCAGAAAATTTGACTGCGAAATAATAAATTAGTGTCATTCTTGAAGAGGCGTATTTCTACATGAACTACATATGTATTATTGTACAAGTGCGAGTGTGACTGCATGTTGCAGAGATCTGCAGTATCAGATACATATTATGATACAAGTACGAGGCATATTTCCACACAAGTTACATATATGTGCGTGTGAAAAATGTAGGTATCATATTTCTAGACGAAATATATACGTATTATGTGTGCACGTGTGGCAAGAACATTATGATACAGGGACTTTGCAGCAGATATCAAAGATATCATCTAGAGGGGCATGATCACCGGTTCCCTCATCTTTCCGAGCATATAACAGTTCCTTGCCCTTGAAGACGAGCATTCCACCCTGGCACATGAAATAAAACCGATTTTAAGCATAACACCCAAGAAATTAAAGTACAAGTCTATAGTTTGGCTGATCTGACCTGTTGCAGAACAGTACTTCGGTCATCAGGGGTGGCTCCGATGGTATAATTCTTCGCAGCTTTCTGAATAGAATCAAACCTGGAAAAGACCTTTGCCTGTCACAAAAGAAAAGGTGAGCCGCATATTGTGAATGGAAGCTTCATATGATGGGAAGAGGTTGAACAGAGAAGCAAGAAGTAAGCTGAGGCTTACACTCGCTGGATTGAAGAATGTGCGGCCGAGACCATAGTACAAGCCCAGAACATCATACGACTGAAGTATAGAAACATGGAAAGGTTAGCAAAAGCTAAAAGAGAATTTTCTAATAGAAGTGCTCACACTTACCTTGCGATCAGGATCAGCATACAGGCAATCCATCGGAAACGGTAACTGAGTTTTGTGACACAAGGAAAAGTAGGTCAGCTAAGACGATCATCTGGATTAAATGCCAGACAAATCACAGAATATTAAAATAAAGAATGCAGACAGAGTCGATATTCTCCTGTTGATCTACAAAGGTTGCATTCTCCACAGGCGTATCCAGAAGTCTACTGCTCTTTACTCTTAAGAGTCTAAAGATAACCAATCCACATGGGACGGACAAATCAAACACGGTATGAAAGCAGAACCCTATACTCATAATGTCATGGATTAGGTGAGGGAAAGAATCCAAAGAACATGACATGGCAAGTGTAACTAGAAAATGTTTCAACCAAACTAGCTTTTTTAAGATAAAAGCTAACCATATAGCATTCAAGCTCAAGGGTAGAGGCTTGGTTCTGATGTGTCATTTTAGGTTATTCTCAAAAAGGAACTAAAGAGAACAAGCGTATCATCGCAAATACATGATTATTAAGAGTCACTTCCAGTATGCCCAAATGAGAAAAGATGCCACATACCAATGGTAAAATCAGGTGTCCAACATTCGTTACACAAGAATCAATGGTGGCTCCTCGTGTTGTTGAGATGAACCTACTCAACATAAATTTGTTTTCGCCATTTTTTAGCGGTTGGCCCCACTATATTTTCCAACAACAAATATGATGCTGCTAAATTTATATAAACCAACAAATCCAAATTATAACCCACTTAACTATTCAGATGCTTAAACCGAAAAAGATTATTGAAGATTGAGAAATTTAATCCATAGACTTCTTCGTTGTGTCTGAAAGTATGACATCTAACTATCATTTAATTCAATTCAATCGCCATTCTTGCACATGACTTAAGTTTCAAGGATATTTTTGGGTTAGTTTTGAATTCTTTACGTGGATTATGCAGTTATATTGTGATTTAGTTCAATCACCTGCAAGAGTTATGGCTTGAGTTTTTATGTGATTTCAATTTCTATCGCTACTATGCATTTTATACAAGTCTCGGTAGTTACAAATAACTTGAACTTCAAAGATATTCTTGGTTCGCTTCTATTTGATATTTAATTATATTATGATTCAACTTGATCATGCACGAGAGTTATGATCCACATTTAATGCAATATTGACCATAAGAAATATACACAAAAATTCATGGTTGAAAATATCAACTTTAAAGAATTGGGGGCCAAAATACATATTAACTTTTAAAGTGTATTTACTTTCCCATTCAATGAAATAAATTTATCTTTCTTTTTTTGCCCCCACTTGCAAAAATTCCTTCCTCTGCCACTGACAAGAATAGTCAAAGAACATCAATCACATTCATGCAACCACATATTCAGAAGGAGCATTAACTTTAAAAGAGAATGAACGAGAGACAAATGAAGACATAGTACTTAGCAGAAACCTGTCCTATCATATTTTGCTCGTGCATCACATAGATTAGCCAGGAAGAAGAGAAAGAAAAGAGATAAGATGTAGACCTATCACAATTTGCAGGGTAAATACTTTCTTAGATTCAAGGAGGATTTAGAATTCTTTCTTAGTCGAGCAAGCTAAAACATTTGTGCAAAAGTTATCCACATGTTCACGAAATGTGTACCTTTCAATCAATCATGCAGAGTACCCCTAACTTCTCTGTTAACCCTTACTCAGCAAAAGAGAAACTGCTAAATTTTTCGAGAAAAATTATATCTGAACATGTGGAAATCTGAAGCTAGTTATCTGTTACCCCTTTCTAAAAAACAAAAGCAGGCCAGCAGCCCAATAGAAAAGTTTTAAGAGCAAATAGTTCAAGCATACTTTAGATTGACTTGGGCCTGGGTAGTCATGTCAAATGGCAAACTCACAAGCTTGAACTATATCTTATCGTGTAAGCTGGGTAAAATTCACACAGCTGCACTAATATATGAAAATAATGCAACCACACTAGGTATCTGCACGGCTGGGCAGGCAGGGGGCCACCCCAATTGATCAAAGATCGGGCTGTTTTTTTTATTTAAAAAAAAATCTTCTGTTCTTAAATTATATGAATCCAAATGTGTAATTATAAACAAATCAACACAATAGTGATCAAATTCTACAAACTTCATTTAAACAAAGGAAGTTTGCACACTCCAATTTTGATCAGGCCATAATTTTGAACCCATAAAGTTAGAGGCCATAAAATACAATCCAAGTTCATTCAAAGCCCCATGTCGTGTTGCCAACAGTGAAAAGTGGTGGAGGCCCTCTTTAGTCTCAAATCCACTGTTTTGCCATGGTTCTGGCTCTGAATTTGACCCCCCAAACTCAAAAATTTTCAGCAACTTTGATGTTTAATTGCTAATTTTGACTTGTTCGCAGATCTTTATTGTTTTTTAGGGTAAAAATGAGTTAACATCTCTTATTTTAAAGCTTTTCTTAAGTTTTCAATATATGGTCATAATCACTAAGTTCAGTAACATGGGCTTGTAACCAAGTGGATGAATATCAGATTAGACCTTCTACTTTATAATGTTGTTAGAAGGACCTTAATGTTCCACTAGACCGACATTGTCCCCAGGGATGTATTCCTCGAGTTCATTGTATTCATTGAATGTACAAAAATGGCTACAACGGAGTTCCTCACATTCATATGTTCAATCTTTAGTTGAAAACACTTTCAGGAAGCATGAAAGTCCATAGTCTAAGACACTTGCAAGATGCATTAAGTGTCCATCTACTCGGTAGAAAAGAAGTCAACTTCTTTACAAGCAAATCTGAGGTCTAAATTAAACAAGCGGAAGCGATCAGAAGTGATGGGGGATTTAAAATGAAAGATTTGAAATTCTTCAGTCTATTTTGTTTCTTAAGACGCCCCAACTCATCAGCAAACAGCTGGACTTTTTTCCGTTGAGTAAAGTAGAGACGTCATACATGTTAGACGCATTTAAAGGTGAGACGCGATGGTGGTCCCACAGTAGGGTTCACATCAATGTTTGGGCAATGTTAATGTCTCGTTTGCAGCTCTTCAATTTCAAGGTTCAATTATTGAAGCCTGACAAAAATTCAGGTCTTTCATGTAATTTTCGGTAAAAGGATTCTCATGTGGTACATGAGTCATCAAAATGTTTCAAAGCACCTCAAATGTTGAACTGCAGAAGAAATGAAGCCCCCTATGCTGAAGCATGAGTGACAGATCAAATCCTTAGCTTAAAAACATCGATGTCCTCATTATGATTGGGTTTCTCTATTTTCGGATGACAATATGCATGGTTTCATCTAAAAGAAGACAATAACTAACCATAAGATGATGGACAAATTAAACCTCAAAGTCATTCTTTGCTAATTATCTTAAATTAGCTATTCATCAAGCTTAGCGGATTTCCAGTGAAATATTTAAGCAAGCAAAGGAATATCTGACCAAAAGAGTATTCCAAAAAAGAGAGACCTGTTTCTTATCATCCATTTACGGTGCCATTAGAATAAATATGTTCCAAGTACAAACATCACACATAGGCTTGTTACATTTGTATGGATGAGTCACATTCACAGTTACTCCGGGCGTTCATACATAATGCTGATGAAAAGAATTTCTGCAATTAAAAGAAAGAGAAGGTACCCGTTCAGCAAGAGTGCGAGCTTTATCAGGAGGTCCAACACCAACAGCAATCAATTTCACACCAGCTGAGTCAAATTTGGCCTTTGATTCTTTCAAAGCTGAAGCAAGCTCCCAACTTGAAAAGGACAAACACAAAGGATGAGCCATAGCAGAATCTCAGCTGTCCAATTTTGCAGTGATAGCCAGAAACGAGCAACACTTACCAGCAGATACATCCAAAGTGTCTCAACATTGCTACAACAGCCACTCCCTAGAAGCCAATTAACTGTCAGACATTGGAGAGAGCACTAGTCCTTGATAAAAAAAGCCAATATGAAGAAAAAGTGGCGAAGGAGATGTCTGTTCAGGAGAAGCAAACAGCTGAGTCTAAAAAGAAGCAGCTGCAGCTGCTGCACCATAGACTGTTTTCCATCAGCTCCTCTAGCAGTGCAAATTGAAAAGTTCGACATACAGAACTAATTCACTAACTTTAGGGATTTCGCAACAAGATCAAAAATTTGAGCACCGCCTGCTTCTTTTTACTAACCCCTATGACGAGCTAGAATGCTGCGAATTGATTAAAGCATAGGAATAGCAGGGCAGTCTCAGCTTCTCATCTCATACTATCCCATCAACACTTCAACAAGGAATGATACCATTAGAAGGGGAATTCAACACCCAATCGTCTGGACATCAAAGCCAACAAAAAGATGTTCTTCACAGACAGCTTACCCCATTGAGAAACCATTGGCGGCCAAAGTATGCATCTATACAGACACACTCTGTTCTAAATTCAAGTATATCATGCAGAAAGTAGCTCACAATCTTTTTTGCAGGGTCGAATTAGCGCATAGTTGGCAAACGCCAGAGTATCATTTCCAGCATGAGGCAATTGCGAGTGGAAATTCAGACGAGAAAAAAGTCAAAATTAATGGGTACAAAACGAAGAACGAATAGAAACCTCATTCTGGTCCCAGAGATCCTTGAACAACACGGGTTCGCCGGCGGCAGTGAAAATGCGAACATCGCCGAGGACATCGCTGATGTCGGGGCTGATTCCGGAGGCGGAAGCTCTAGCGACGAACCGCGACCGGACCGCGTCGCTCCGGCGAGCGGGCCCCTGGGAACGAACCGAAGCGACGGCCGAAGCAGAGCGGACGAGCGGTGCAGCGCGAGTGGAGGGAAGCCGAGACCCGGGCTTTGGAGGAGGAGAGAGCAAGAGGGTCTGTGGAAAGCGCAGGCCTTGAGAAGAAACCGACGACGCCATGGACACGGGTCTTCGTTCTCGCTTTTCGATTCGAACGAGGAACGACAAAGTTGTGGAGGGGAATGCAATGCAATGCACGTGTGGCTCTACCTTCTGCCCTTCTTCATGTGAGATAAAAATGTGGTCACACTATCACATCACTGAATAGTCAGATGCATGACTTTGGTATATCTAAGGTTTTCTAACTCCATTTGAGCCCCGCTCGGGGCGCACCGGACACCACGCGACGTGCGGTGATCTTCCGGTCACTGCATCCGAACTCCCGGCTGATAATTCCAAAGCATGAAGAAGGGGGTCCCTGACGGTGTTCCATATATGGTTGTCTGTCGTCTTCGTTAGAGTTTGAGAATGGCAAATAAGAGTCGACCGGCGACTCCGGTCTTGCCGAGGCCATTGCCATTAGTCTCCATTTATCACTGCACCAAATAGCACATAATCAGGACCCGATTTGTCGATTATGTATTTGATTTAGCGATCAGGTAATGTCCGAGAAAAGGGACATGACGTTTTCATATGTTCCTCATTTTGAGCAGTGTCCCTCGTTTTGCGCAATTTCCTCCCAAACGTATGTGAGATCATGTCTCAGGTTTTACAGCTTCATATCCTCTTTCGTGTGCTGCTCTTAAATTTCAATACCAGCAATCGCTAGTGGGGTCAAAGTCTGCACAGCTGAGTCCCTGACAAACTTAAAACCCAACAAGGAAAACAGTGGCAATTCCATACACTCCTGGTTGGCTTTTGACAATCTGCATTTTTTACATCCTCACCATGTTTCACCGGGCGAACCACAGAACTTCGAAGTCGAAGCATCTGACTATCCAGAAAATCTACCGTAATTGCGCGATACTAACCCCTTCCGTACAATCAACATTGGCAGTTATCTATAATCGAAAGAGTACACTGGCATCTAACGAGCTGAAAGTTCATTCTTGTAAATACATGTTTCTACATGAAGTATGTGCTGTCACATAAGTGTGAGAGTGTACGTGTGTAGCAAGAACTTCATGATACTGGGACTTTGCAGCAGACATCCAAAATATCATCTAGAGGGGCGTGATCTCCGGTTCCTTCATCTTTCCGGGCATATAACAATTCCTTGCCTTTGAAGACAAACATCCCACCCTGGCGCAAGAATGTGTGAAAACTTCTCTTTAGAGCAAAGTGCCATGAAAATTTAATAAACTACTACACATTTACAGTCTGTCAGATCCAACCTGTTGCAGAACACTACTGCGGTCATCTGGAGTCGCTTCGATTGTGTAATTCTTCACAGCTTTCTGAAGAGCATCAAACCTGGAAAAGACCTTTGCCTGCCATAAAAGAAGCAAGTGAGCCAAATGTTATATTTCAAAGCTTCATTTGACAGGAAGAAATTCAAAGGAGAGGCAGGAGAGAAGCTTACGCTTGCTGGATTGAAGAATGTGCGGCCAAGACCATAATACAAGCCCAGAATATCATACGACTAAAGTTGAGAAACATGAAAAGGGTTAGAAAAAACTGAAAGAGGATTCTCTGACAGATATGCTCATTAAGGTAACATGTTCACCTTGCACTCGGGATCAGCATAAAGACAATCCATTGGGAATGGTAACTGAGATATGTGACACAAAGAATTGCAAGTCAGCTCAAATGATCATAGGGATCAACTGGTAGATTAATCCAAAACTCATATTTAAAATGCAGTATCAGTTCTCTATGAACCTAGCTTTCAAAGATTATACTAATCAGATAATATGCAAGTTTAGAGGGTTGGCTGAGTTCATAAAATTTGAAGTAATTTCCTAGAAAGAACATAAAGAGGGTGAGCTGTCTCACCCCAAAAACTTGAAGAACATGTAGTGCAATTAATGAGAAGAGATGCCAGAGACTTGAAGTAAAATCAGGTCTCCAATGTCGACATTACACAACAGCATAACGAAATAATGTCCATCAAGTACATAGTCGCCACATGTTCAGAATAGGCATCACTTCTACACCAGAATGAAAGATAGAGACAAGGGTCAACGCTCTACTTAAAAGAACCTTTTCCATAATTTTTTCAGAAAGTACTTCAGACCAGGTTTGCCACGAACCGGAGAAAGTTGAGAAAATAAATAAGAGAGCCAGGTCCACTGATAAAAATTCCCAGACCATGCATTCTTTCGTGCCCCGCTTTCATAGATAGGATAAATATGTGGATATGAGTAGCCATCTCAAATGGCATATTCACAAACTTGAGTAATAACATATCATGTAAGCTGGTCAAATCCATTGCAATAATACCTGAGAATAACAACGTCCCACTTGTCAGCTGAATGGCCTCCCAATATTGCCACAAATGAACGAGTGGATGAATAAAAGAAAGGGAAATTGCATGAAGCTTGGGGTGAATTTCAAATTAGACCTTATGCTTTAAAATGATATACCATGGACCTTGAGGTTGCAAGAAATCCCCATCTCCTAGATTCAAATTAGCAGAAATTCTTACACAAAGAATCCGAGGCTTAAGTTCAATAAGCAAGGGAATGAAAGTTATGGTGGGAGTTTCAAAGGAAAGATTTAAAAACCTTTTGTCTCCACCAGTTTCTTCAGTGTCCCCCAAAAGAAGTTGGACCTTTTGCGTCGACCAGAAGGAACATGTACATCTCAGATGCATTTGATGTTTGAGAACTAATAGTTTGATGGTAGGACTGACCTTGATATACAGTAAGATTAAACTCTCTTTTAGTAACTTTTCAAAGTTGAAGGTTCAATTTATGACGCACATCCAAAACTTATGGTCTGTCATGTGGAAGAGTCTTAATGCTAATTTTCCATTTGCCAAAACGGAACAATGCTCCGTGCATGGTAATTTTTTAATATGATTAGGGAAGTTGGTAAAACCATGTAACCACAGAGGATCCATTCTGAAACTTCTGGTCTGTCATTTTCACCACTCAGCAGATAACTCGTGAAATATGTAAACACTGAAAAAAAAATAGAGCCAGTTTGAGTAACAAGGAGAACTCATGGATGACGCAAAGGACTATTACGGCAAAAAGAAATAATTTTCTTATCATCCATTTACTGTGGTATTACAATGAATATTCGAAGGTCATGCACATCATATATCATCTAGTTGAATCGCTATGGATGAGTTCCACTGAGTATCAAGAATTCATACATTTCAATTTCTTTAACCTCTGACTGAAATATGTTAGGTTCTCTAATTCAAAGATGTGTTTGCCAATGACAAGAATTAGAAGGAAGAAAAGGTACCCGTTCAGCAAGAATGCGAGCTTTATTAGGAGTCCCAACACCAACAGCAATCAATTTCACACCAGCAGAGTCAAACTTGGCTTTCGATTCTTTTAAAGCCGAAGCGAGTTCCCAGCTTATGCAAAAGAACAAGCACAGCAAGCAGTGAGCCACAGCAGAATCCCAGCTATTTACTCTTGCAATAATAGTCAGTTGTGAAAAGAGAAAACATCTACCAGCATGGACAACCGAAGTGTCTCAACAGCGCCACGGCAGCCATTCCCTGACAAATAAAAAAAAGGAACTGTGGGACATCTTGAAGATGATCATGGGCCGAATCAAGCAAGAAGACCCTCACAAGAAAAACAAAACCTGGAAGACAGAATCCCGTGGGATAAAACTAATTCAAAGCGAAGTTCATGAAAAGATGCCTAAATCCGGAGACCCGAATGACTGAATTTTAAAAGCAGCAGCAGCTGCTCCTGAATCATGCACTGTTCCGCACCAGCTCCTCTGGCAGATCAATTGGTAAACGAATAGTAACAAACAGAACTCGTTCAGTAACTTCACGGACTATTCCCTCTCTGATTGCTTTTGCGAAACCCACAGCGCAACAAAATCAAATTTGGACCACCAGTTGCTAGTTCTTTCTAAGCTCTATGGTGAAGTAGAATATCCTGATAAGATATGGGAAGCATATGCGTGGACGGACGGTCTCATCTTCTCATCCCACACTACTCCATCAACAGGGAATAGATCCCAGATGCTTGAGAGGAATGCCCCAATTTTTAGAGCAATTAACCAACGAAGTGTTTTCAGGTACCATTCAACGAGACACGGTCTGTGCTATAAGCAAGTACATCACGCAGAGATTAGCTCGTAATTGACAAACAACATCAGAGTACCATTCAAGTTATGAGGCAATTGCAAATGACAACAGGAAAAAAGAAAGCTAATCGGCATTAAATAAAAAAGGAAGAATGGAAAAACCTCGTTTTGGTCCCAGAGATCCTTGAACATCACGGGCTGGCCGCAGGCAGTGAAGATGCGAACATCGCCGAGAGCGTCGCTGATGTCGGCACTGATGTCGGAGGCGGAGGCTCTCTTGACGACGCTCGACCGGACCACGCTGCTCTGGCGAGAGAATTCTCGAGAGCGAATCGAAGCGGCAGTTAAAGGAGAGCGAACCAGTGAAGTAGCAGCAGCAGAAGAGGAAGAACAACAAGGTGGAACAACAAACTGAGACCTGGGTTTGGGAGGTGGAAGCGAGAGAGATTGTGGGATTCGCAGGTTTCCCGCAGAAATCGAGGACGCCATGGCCACAAGGTTTCGAGTTCGCCGGAAGAACACTCGCGAACGTATTACAGCCACAGGCGCTGTTGTTTTTCTTGTTTTATTTTCTCTTCAATTTTCCGTTAATTAACGGCTTTTGAGAGGCGGGAACGAGGTCTGTATTTCTTTTCTTTTTTTCTTCATTTTCTTTGTTTTACCCATTTTCTGAGGCGGGAGAAATTTCCTCGAAATATTTTTTTATTTCCTTTATTTCTTTTAATTTCTTGGACAAAGGGAATCGAAGCTGATTAAATCCGGTGATTAAAGCGACGAATACGATGGACTTTACAAATCAAAAGAATCAATTTCTCATGTTCAATTCTCTCGCGATGGAATTTCATTACACTTTTATTTGAAAAGCATGTTTTCAAACAAACTAAGATATCCCGCAAAAAAAGAATAAGCACAATTTACATGGTAAGGCAAAAGATCTTGAGATTAAAAAGGTGAAATTACAACAATCGGTAACTAATTATATATAATGATTAATTAATATATAAATGATTAATACAAATGTAACAAAGCAAAAGTTCATGAAGTAAACGGTTGAAAATTTAGGGCTCAACATGTAATAAATCCCAAAATTTGGGGAAATTAAGTGTAATTTTGGGAAAATAACACAATGGTCACTAAACTTTGACTCGATGTACAATGTGGTCTCCTAACTTTTAATTTATTTAATATGGTATCTGAACTTTAACTTAATGTGCAATGTCATCCATTAACTTTTAAATTATTCAATGTGATCTCCGAACTTTTGGTACATGTTCAATTTAGTCACCAGATTATATGAAAATATTTAATATTGTCCATGAACTTAAACTAATAGAAAAATAATATTAAACATCTCCATATAATTTATGAATTAAATTTAACATGTACCAAATCTCTAGGGACTACATCTAACAAATTAAAAGTTCAAAAATCACATTATACATCGAACCAAAGTTCAGAAATCATTTATGTAATTATCCCTGTAATTTTCCCAAAAGGTTGACTACCCACTCCCCCTCTAAAAATTACAATTTGTGCCCCAGTTGTGTTTACAATGCAATTGCCAACTCCTCCTCCCTTGTTTTATTTTTCTTATTTTCAGCTATTGAAAGAATAACAAAGTATTCGCTCGCTGTTTGATTTCTAGAAAGGAATCCCCACAACGATAAAAAAAGAAAATCGATATTTTATTATCCTATTTCATTTAATTAAATTTATTAACCTTATTATTAATTCATTGATGTTGCACAAGGAATGCAGAAGGAGGAGTCGCCAATGCACTCAAATCTAGCTCTCCTGAGCACAGAAAATGAAAAAAAATGAAAAAAGGAAAAGAAGAAAAAATAATAAAGAAAATGTTACATAAAACTTTTAATTTTTTTTCCAACATCCCAATAAATTCAGTGAAGCTCGTTCTGATTTCGAATTCGAACTCCTCGTAGAAAACAGAATCCGAGGAAAAAGGAAAAAGTGGCAACAAAATTTAAATAAAATAAAATAAAAAAAATCGAGAAACGGAGTCGTAGCAGCAGCAGCAGAGCGAGGCTCAGACACGCACAAACGCAGTCATCAAGAAGCAGAAGAACATACGCGCGCACGAACGCGTCGTGTGCCGTATGAACCTGCCGGGTCCCGTATGATACGGCCGCCCATACGATTCAGCATCGAGAAACGTAATTCCTCATCATCGCCTCGCTCGCTCGCTCAACCCCCCCACCCCCACCCCACCCGCGCGCCCCCCGCGGATCTTTCCCTTCCTCCTCCCGATGATCACGCACGGGGAGGGGGGGGAGGGGGAAAAAGATAGAATCTTTGCAGAGAAGGAAATCGAACGGAACCTGCCGAGATGGGGTTCGAAACGCAGCGACGACATGGTGGCGGTGGGATGATGAAGGTGCTTGGGAAATGGGAATGGATGGTGGGGAGGAGTAGAGAAATGGGTCTCGTCCTCGAGGTCTCCTCTGCTGTGTCTGCTGAGCTTCGGAAACCCTAGTTCTAATCGCGTGTTTATATCTTGTCCGTCGACTGAAGAAGAAGAGGAGGAGGTGGAAGGAGGAGGATCGAGTTGAAATGACGCTCCTGTCCTTGACCCCTCAATCTTGACCCCTTCTTCGTCTTTGGGCTTGGGCTTGGGCTTTGGGCCTGGGCCTCTCTACTCGGTCCACACGGTATGTGCACGGGGAAATTATTTCATGACCGTGTGCTAAACTGAATCTAAACCGTTAAATCTGATGAGGGAGCCTTGCACTTTTTGATGGTTCGGGTTTAGTTTTGCACGCGCCTCTGTAGGCCTCTACATAGAGAAGGAATTTGCCTCCCCGATCTTGTCTGTGGCCGATTTGTTGGGCCATAAGAAATGTTATAACTGATGATACGAGGCTTATCCGTTTTCGCTCGCGAAATCGAACTCGTGTCGCGATCGATTTTGATCGGGAATGTTGTGGTGAATTACTAACTATCTAATGTGTATTGAGTGTTGGGACGGATCCAAAAATAAAAAAAAGTTGTGGACCCAACATTGTGACGTAATGATTTAGAAACTTTTGAGGTAGCACGAGTCAGTTTTTCGAGCCATTATCGACTTTTTCCTCTGCAAATGAGGCTTTTCTATCATGTTTGACTTAAGCTTCTGCGTATAAACCGTGAAACACCTTAGATAATTAATTAATGGACCATATAGCATGTGACACCCATGAGAAAAGAATTCAAGAATTCGATGTAGCATTTGTTCTTATGAAAGTATATTCCAATTGATCTCTATGCCTTGGCTAACCTATTTAGACTTCAATACACTATCTTGTTTCTTGCGATTTTGAATTGTCTACCGCCCGCAATTTTGGAATTTCTGGGATAGCGTTGAAAATCTTGTCAACTTTCAACAAAAAAACTGAAGGAACTCGAACAAACTGACTCTTTGAACTGTATAAATGCAATAGGAATACCCTGTATGACTTCATATCGTGCACGACCAACTCATGTTTTCTTCAAAAACTCATGTGGTTTCGAGTTAGTTAATTGGCTCACGTCGTACTTTGTCTCTTTCACAATATCGTGTTTGACCCGTTTCGAGTTTCTCGGGTTGAAATTATTTCGAGTTCAGATCGGGTCGAGTCTGACTATGATTTCGTTAAACATGCGGATTTTCTAGAGAACAAGTTGAGTTCGAGTGGGATTGAATCGGGGATATTTACTTTTCTTTAGACAGATTGAGTCGGATATTAGTCTAGATCGGATAAGAAATTGTCACCTCTAATTTTTAGGGTTCTGTATTATCAACTCAAATCATCATCATCCAGAAACACATGAAAGAATGAAAATTGAAAGCTGCCGTTTTCCGTTTCTATTTCCGTGTTTGGTAGGCAAAAGGATTGATCGTAACAATCACCTGCACAATTACCTCTTTGTGTGTGACATTATATGAAGATCTCACACCCGCTACGGCATGTTCGATTTGAGTCTTTAAACTCTTTAGTCCATCGAGGAAGCGAAGGCTCGATTGTAGTTCTTCAAGAAGACACTCGGTTCGAAACGATCGCTAAATTCCAACGGCTTGACGACATGGCAATGCGTAGTGCCCCCATAAAAGTCAAGTCTCCGGTCGATTCTTGAGACGCCTGCTTGATAAATAATTAGTCGCACGTCTCCCTTGACCGGCACTCGTCCAAGCATCAGTTCACGACCCATCACAAACTGACAAAGATTTTCCTGTTCATGCATTTAACACAAAATACACCTAACCAACATCGAATTGTCATTTTGGGGATAAAGACTTGTAAAATATAGTCGAATAATGTATGTCCCACGGGAGACTAATATATGTTATTTTTCCAATGTCAATATAAGTAAGCTTGACAAAGAACCTAGAACTCCAAGAGATTCACGCCACCCATCCTCCATATTCTTCAGGCAATGTCGATACAAAAATAAGAGATACAATACACGTGGAAATTGTAAACCCTTCTTCACCTACCGTGGATAGGATTTGATTATTCAATCGGGCGCGATTAATTTCTTGCTTCCAATCATGCATAGTGTTCCAACATATATTATGTATATCCCTCCCCAGTAGACATGCAGATTGTTTTCTTCCGTTTCGTGATCATATCCTTCTTTGAATTCTTCTTCAAACCTTCCTCTTCACGTTATAATTGCTTGCTACTTGAGGAATCTGCAGTTGGAAAGTGATGAATGCATGAAAGCACCTTTATAACCACAAAGCCGCAGTGATATGCCCATCATTGTTCTTCAGCAGTAGCTCTTTCGGGAATTTTTGGAAAGATGAGTCACCGGAAGGTTCATTCACATGGAAACATCATCATTCCCTTCTCCTGGGAACACAGCCCTGGAATCTCCAAGACCACCCGCCAAAATCAAGAGAGAAGATCATCATCACTTGCCCAGAGTCCACCTCCGATATCACCACCAGATTCTGGGTCTCAAGGGTTGGCCCAAGAACGGAAGGAGAAGATCCCTCCTCCGCCGGGTATGGCAGCGGCAGCGGCGGCGCCACCGCGGAGAAGCGCTTCGCTGAAGGGGTTCTTGTGGCGGGAAGAGGACCCTTTCCTCGCCGCTTATAAGGAGTGCACGAAGAGCACGAGCTTGGTCGAGTCGGGCGGGGGCGAAGGCAAGAAAAGCAATCGGGTCAAGTCCGGGTTGAGGAGCAAGAGGATGTCCATCTTTTCTTGCAAGAGCTCCTGTGATGTTAGGGAGAACAGCTTAGTCAGGTTGTCGCGCCTTCCTCCTCTTCCGAGAGACCGGAGCGAGATGTTCCAGTGAGAAAGGCGATAATTGAATCTCGTCAATCTACAAGCTTGGAAAGAAGATGGAAGAAGAGGGTTATTGATAGCCCGAGATTGTGATCAGGAATTCCTAATGTGTTCATCAATCTCTCCAAATGATGACAAGTATAGAGTACCCCGATGATTCACTCGAATTTAGGCGGTACATAGTTAATCAAATCCCACATAGTGTAAACATACGTATTTGATCAAACTTCTGCTAGATTTGTTAATGCCTTCTTTCGCATATCCATGTCTTTTGAGTTAGTAATTCATTGTACTGGTAC